ATCTCCTACCGACCAACCTCATCCCGCCCCCTTGACCTGTCCGTCCTCCCTGGACTGACCTATCCCCTTCCTAACTCCCTACCTACACTCACCTTTACTGGCTCCATCCCCGCCTCTTCGACCTGTTTGTTTCCTCTCCACCTATCCTCTCCTCTATCCCTCTTCTATCCGCCTCCCACTCTCTCCCTACTTATTTCAAAACCCCTTCCCCTCCCCCTTTTCTGATGAAGGGTCTAGGCCCGAAAAGTCAGCCTCTCTGCTCCTATGATGCTGCTTGGCCTGCTGTGTTCATCCAGCCCTGCACCTTGTTGACCTGAATGAGCTCAACTGGATTGTACTGCTCATGCTTGTTCAAAGTGTTTGCATCTTTTTGCAGATCTGCTGAACTTTATCTGTCTTTAATGATGACAGGAGTGTTTTCCAGATTTGACAATCCTAATTCATAATGAATCATGAAATCTTCAATCCCTCTTGAGGTTTCTGGCAACCACACTACTGACTGAGTCCCAGTTGTATACCTGACTATGCCTGAGTATCCCTGGTATTTTTTTTCAATACACCTTCCCAAAACAAAGTTAGAATAACTAAACTTTTGTCATAATTTAGTAAATTGTCCATGATTGTGAAATGCTGTCAGTGCTCAGAGTATGTGACTTCTAGTCTGGTCATCTTTCAACACAGTACCAGCAAATGGTATCACACTGTTGGTCATTCTTTAGTTCTTGTCAAATTTGATTCAGCTTGTTTTTTGATTTGCTGACTACTGTTTCATTTTGGGTACAAACACTTCTTTGATGTGTTGCATTTATTCTAAACAGGTTACTTCTAATTTTAGGATCTGTGATAAATCTAGTAAATCCAATTAAATCTTAAACTATTGCCCTTTGACTGATTGGCCAACCACAGATTATTCCTGGGCCAGCATGTCAATATGACTTGTACTCTTGGAACCAATGGGACTCATCCTGACTTCTTAAGGAAGTTGAGGTCCAAACATACATGCTGTCTGAAATGTGATGGGGTTTTGATTCCAGGTGCCATTACTGAAACTAGCTTCATATTTCAGATTTAGTATTTGTGGAATTTCATAGTTGCCACGAAGGGAATTGAATCCATGTTCCCAGCGTATTAGTCTGGGCCTCTGGTTTGCTGGTCCAGTAACATTATAACTATGTCACTGCCTTCCCCTGAAATCCCCTATGGGACTAAGATAAGGAGAATTTTTTAATCATAGGATTGTCAATCTGTGGAATTATCCAACCCAGAGGGCCTTGATTGCTCATTTGTTAAATTTACTTGAAAGGAGTCAAGGGATATGGAAATTGGGTGACAAAGTGAAACTGAAATCAGGAATCAGCCATGATCTTATTTGGTGGTGGTTGGCAGGCTTGTCTGGTCTACTTCTGTTCATATTTCTTGCTCTTAAAAATTAGGGGATCTACACGGAGAGTAGGTCATTCACTAGTTACCCAGGCCACATACATTTTGAGTGAAAAGGAGGGTAGAAGGAGAATGTGAATTATATAGTATAACAAAAAAGAATGCACAACCGCCATTAGGTTTACCCAGTAATCTCTAATCAATACATTTTGTATGGTAAATTGCCTTCATTCTTTTAGCCTCACTAAATCAGATTTCACAGCTGCTTCTGTTTTCCAGATTCCCATCCATGAGATGAGAAATGATGCCTATGATAATTTGCTTGGGGCACTGCTGATTGCCGGATCGTATGTAATACCAGAGGTGAGTGTGCAACCTCCAGTCAGTTTAGATATCTGATTTTGTTCATTAACTTTGACTTGTATTTCTGAATTTTTGTTCAATTATTTAGGTTAGCCTGTATTTTCAAGACAAATTATACAGAGGAAATCGAGTGAAAAAAGTTAATGCCGAGAGTCTTACTGCATTTGCTTCACCTAACCTGCGCCCACTTGTCGATGCTGAACTGGAATTTGAAAGTAAGTTAAACTTATACCTCAATAATTTTCCAATTTTGAGAACCTTCTTTCTTTCTTTGACGTAATGGAGAGGAAAATTTTGTAAAAGGGAATTAACAGGAGTTGTTCTTCTTGGTGATGAAGAGATTAAGATGAAATTCAACAGAGGGTTTTAAAGTCATGGGTCTGGAACGAATTACTGGAAAGTACTGGAGGAAAAATTGATATTGGACACAGGTCTGTGTTTAGTTACTTCAAAGCAAAGCCAAGCTAGATCACTTTGAGTTAATTTGTCCCTTTTAAACAGGAGCTTCTGCAATTATCTTTGAAAGACTTGACTGGAAAGTGAAGTGCAGCAATTAGAACAGGCCAGGGAGAGGAATCCCAGGTTTTCACATTCTGCCAGAGCAATGGTGATGGGTGTGTGTAGTAGGACAGGTGCTATGTATTTTAAGGGGTCAAGAGGCTCTCTAAATATGTTCTGGGAATGGTATTCAGTAGCCAGAATGTTCTATTCATGGAGTGTCACCCTGAGGACCTCACTGCAGCACTGGAAAATGTTCACCAAATTCATGTGTAAGGTCAGAGTCAATGAATGCCCTTTAAAAGCTTGACTCGGATCTACTGCAGTACTGATCTGTCACACTACTCAATGCACCATGGGCTGTTTACTTATTCATCAGGTTTCAGATTTCATGCCCATCAATTAGATATTCAATATCACTCTAACAGATATCAATGTTGTCAGCTACAGACCCACCTCTCTCTGCTTCTGTGTACCCGTAGTTATTTAGGTATGGAAGGCACAGTACCTGAACATATTGCAACACATTTACTGACATCTTGCCACTACTTTGCAACACAAAGTGGCTCACAATTGTAGACAAAACCACAGAATTGGCAGGTGATAGGCAGATCACTATCTCCTGAGACTTCTTGAGGAGATGGTGCTGCACCTGATGGGTCAGCTACAACTAAACTCATTGAGCCCTGTGCTGCTGAGAACATTGAGAATAGTAGTACATTCCTACTTGACACCTCCTCTCAAATTCCACTTTGCCCTCCAATCTGAAATGCAAGTTGCAGGTAGTATGACCATACATGTACCTCTATTTTCTACTCCTCTGATCTTCACTTATCTGAATATTCCCCACCTGCATTTTGCTTTCAGATACTGAAGAACTTGAACAGTGAGTGCAGGTTCACCATCATGGTTGAGCGCAACGCCAAACCTTCGATGAAAATACACTGTCACTTAATCTAAAGTTACAACCACCAGTTCAGAGATTGGCACAGTGGGAACTTTAAAAGGTAGAATAAAATTAGGATCAGTATAAGATGAGTAATTGGGCACAAATGGGCTACAGACCCACATCAACCATGAAATGTTTTACCACATTCAGTAGATTTCATGGTGATACTGAGATCACAAATAACGAAGCAATTGTCTCTGCTTCTAAAGTGCCCTTGGAAATGTCGCAAGTGATGGCTTCGCTTTTGTGCAGCATTTGGCTCTTTTTAAGTCATTGTGGCTAACTTCTGCGACATTGAAATGTCTATGTTCAGTTTGCCAGGGCTAATTGCATGGTGCTAATCGTCCTTGGCCAGCATTTGAACCTTAACTCTGATGCGTTGCCAATGGACAGTGAAATGATTGCAAAATAAATGAATCTATGTTTTGCAAGCTCATGCTTCATGTATTTGTTCCTTCAATGTCATAGTGTCCAGCAGTTGTGGAGACCACACTTTTGTCCATCAAACTTACATTGACTCAGCCCATTCTGGGCAGTGCACAGATGCTTTCCATTTACAGTTAGCATCTGGTGAACAGCAAGTGTTATCAGGGAAGGCAGCATGTGGTCAACACTGTCAGTACCAAGTTCCACCTGGTCACCAGGTATCAACCCTTCAGTCTCCATGTCTGCTTTTACTTCACACGACCTCAGCAGCACATTTCCATTTGTCCCCCCATGTGAAGACCCACCATGTTTAATATCATCTCCAACTTTCTTCTGCTGCTTGAGCCCCGACACATGATGTCCATCGTGATCATGTGTGCTGAGTCGTGGCAAGCCACAGTGGTCATTGCCAATAACCCCACAGCGACTACGGCCTACTCTTTGGACTGTACTGAAATATATCTCCTGAATATGACCACCCCAGCATAGGACAAACTTTGACCAAACACCTGGACTGTATGTGGACACTTCCGTTGACTGACTGCACTGGGACAACCTCTCTTGATGTGACTGCAGATTATTCCTCTCGCTTAGACTTTCAGACATGGCCACTTGTATGAAACTCGTGTGTGTGATTACTGTGCAGGCAATTGGCACGTGTGACAGGTATGAGATTCGCAAAGCACAGCACTAAAGAGCAAGGCAAGCCTTTGAACTGTGCCAGAGGTGCCAGTTCCTTATAACATTCCACTCATTATATCTTTGTACTAAATAGAAATTAATTTAAATTCATTTAATTACAGTTATAGCTAATGGGCTGGTTGGTTCATTTGGCTAAATGATGAGCTTGCGGTTCAGAGTAGTGAAAATAGCACGGGTTTGATTCCAGTTCTTACTGAGGTAAAATAGGGTCCTGTTCCCTTGCCCTCCTCCTGGGAGTAGAAGACAGTGTAAAGCCACCCTCAACAAGAATAGCCAAGAAAACAGCTTTGGATAAAGCATCCACAGGAAATGAATGAAGAACTGGGCTTCAGGCAGAGAAAAGATGCAATGGTGAACAAATGTGCTGGAATGAATTTACCTTTATTTCCTTTATAATCCAATGGGACACTGTTTGGAGACTAAATATATCTAAGAAATTTAGGGTACAAGCCAACATGAATCAGAATGTGGGATCGTTAAGGTTATTCCCAGGAATCATGGCTGCAACAGTAACTTTCCTTTTCAAACATATTTACTGAATATTTTCTAAAGATTGAAATGTAATTAGGTTTGTACATCAGAATTAATAATGGGGATATGTAATATATGTTAGTATTTTTAAACAGTGGGACTAATGCAAAATAAAAACCGAAAGATCTGCGGATGCTGTAAATCAGGAACAAAAACAGAAGTTGCTGGAAAAGCTCAGCAGGTTTGGCAGCATCTTTGAAGAAAAAATCAGAATTAACGTTTTGGGTCTGGTGACCCTTCCTCAGAACTGATGGTAGCTGGGAAAATGTTAAATAATATGCAGAAAATAGGGAGGGGGGTGGGGTAGGGAGTAAATGATAGGATAAAGGATAGAGCCCGAAGTGAGAGAGAACAGTTGGGTAGACAAAGATGTTGATAACGATATGGCTAGGAGGGTGAATAGCTGTTAATGGGGACTGTTAGTAACTAAGGTTAATGTGTAATGGCAGACTATGTAATAACAAAGCCTTGTGTGTGAGGTAGGGGGCGAGGACATGGGAGAGTTTAGGCCCTAAAATTATTGAACTCAATATTGAGTCTGGAGGGCTGCAGGGTCCACAAGTGGAAAATGAGGTGTTGTTCTTCCAGTTTGCGTTGAGCTTCACTGGAACACTGCAGCAAGCCAGAGACAGAGATGTTGGCCAGGGAACAGGGTGATCTGTTAAAGTGGCAGGCAACTGGAAGCTCAGGATCTTTTTTGCAAGCAGTCATAGATATTCTGCGAAGCAGTCACCCAGTCTACACTACGTTTCCCCAATGTAGAGGAAACCACATTGTGAGCAGCGAATGCAGTAGACTAGATTCTGGGATGTGCAGGTGAAGTGTGGCTTCACCTGGAAGGTATGTTTGGGCCCTTGGATACTGGGTAGGGAGGAGGTAAATGGGCAGGTGTTGCACCTTTGCCGGTTATTTGGGAAGGTGCCGTGGAGCTGTGGGAGGTGTTGGGAGTGAAGGAAGAGTGGACCAGGGTGTCCCAGAGGGAATGGAAGGCGGACAAGGGAGGGGAGGGGAATGTATGTATGTTTGGTGGTGGCATCTTGCTGGAGGTGGCGGAAATAGTGTCTGATGATCTTCAGGATGTTGATGCTGGTGGGATGGTAGGTAAGGACAAGGGGAACCCTATTGCTGTTGTGGGAGGGAAGAGAGGGGGTGAGGGTGAAATTGAGATGGGTCGGACCCTGTTGAGGCCCTGTCGACCACAGAGCTGGGGAATCCTCGGTTGAGGAAGAATGTGGACATTCCGGAGGCTCCCTTGTCGAAGTTGGCCTCATCTGAACATATGCGACAGAGATGGAGGAACTGAGAGAATGGGATGGAGTCTTTATAAGAAGCAGGATGTGAGGATGTATAGTCCAGGTAGCTGTGGGAGTCAGTGGGTTTAAAGTGGATATTAGTGGCCAGAAATGGAAATAGATTTAGAGGAATGGAAGGGAGGAGTCAGAGAGAGACCAAGTTAAAGTGAGGGCAGGGTGAAAATTGGAAGTGAAATCAATGAACTTTTCCAATTCTAGACGAGATGGGGAAGCAGCACCGAGAAAGAGTTGTGGGTGTGGGCTGGAATAGGACTGGAACAAGGAATGTTCCTTGTACCCATGAAGAGACAGGCATAACTGGGACCCATACGGGTACCCATGGCCAACCCTCTGACCTGAAGAAAATGAGAGGAGTTAAAAAAATAAGTTGTTGAGGGTGAGGATGACCTCGGCCAAGCGGAGGAGGGTGGTGGGTGGGGACGGTTCATGTTTTTGCTCCAGGAAGAAGCGGACAGCCCTAAGACCTTCCTGGTGGGGAATGGTGTGTTAAGGGATTGCACGTCTATGATAGAGAGAAGGCAGCTGGAGCCTGCAAACTGGAAATTTTGAACTGGTGTAAAGCGTCAGAGGAATCATGGATTGTATCAGGAAGAGAAGACTGAGTCAAGGTAGGAAGAGATGAGTTCTGTGGGGCAGGAGCAGGCTGAAACAATGGGTCTGCCCGGTCAGTCCTGTTTATGGATATTTGGGAGGAGGTAGAAGCGAGCTGTGCGGAGCTGGGGGACTATCAGTTTGGAGGTAGTGGGGTGGGGGAGGTCACCAGATGAAATGAGATCAGTTACCATAGTTGATACAATGGCCTGATGTGACATGGTGGGGTCGTGGTTCAGGGGAAGATAGGAGGAGGTATCTGAGAGTTGGCACTGAGACTCTGCAATATAGAGGTCAGAATACCAGGCTACAATAGCACCACCCTTATCTGCAGGCTTAATAACAAAGTCAGGTTTACCCTGGAATAGACTGGCCACAAATATCCACTATAAACCTACTGACTCCCACAACTACCTAGACCTCACACCCTGCTTCCTGTAAAGACTCCATCCCATTCTCTCAGTTCCTCTGTCTCCGTCGCATATGTTCAGATGAGGCCAACTCCAATGAGGGAGCCTCCGAAATGTCCACCTTCTTCCCCAACTGAGGATTCCCCAGCAACGTTGTCAATAGGGCCCTCAACAGGGTCCGACCCATCTCCCTCACCGCCTCTCTTCCCTCTCGCAACAGCGATAGGGTTCTCCTCATCAGCAACCACATCCAGAAGATCAACAGATGCTATTTCCATCACCTCCAGTGAGATGCCACTACCAGACATATATTCCCCTCTCCCCCCCACCTTGTCTACCTTCCACAGGGACCGTTCCCTCTGGAACACCCTGTTCCACTCTTCCTTCACTCTCAACACCCCCTCCGCAGTCTCAAGGCACCTTCCCCTATGACACTTCACCTGCACTTCCCAGAATCTAGTCTACTGCATTTGCTGCTCGCAATGTGGTTTCCTCTACACTGGGGAAATGATGCATAGACTGGGTGACCGCTTCGTAAAACATCTACATTGTCCAGTATCCAGCTAAAGTGAGAAGAATCAAGATTTACAAAATCTGGCAACCAGAATGCAAAATATTAAGAATTCAGGTCAAAACCATTGAGTCATTACCTTTATTGTTCTTGGTGAGACTAAGTCCATTATGTTATTCAACAGTATTAAAAATATTTAACAAAATTATGTTGTCTTTATATTAATTTTTGATTACACCAAATGAAGTTAGAGATGTATGTTTCATAAAAGTATTCTATGGACTTGCAAAAATAGCTGACGTTTTTGTCAAAATTCTAGAGCAAGCTTATTGCAGAACTCTGTTGTCTTACAGTTAAACCCATGTAAAGTCATTTCCAAAAAGCACACATCCTCTTGCATTGTTAAAAATGGATTTTGTGCTATGAATCCTGAATCATATCAATATTCTTGAATTGTTGTTGCAGTAGAATGGGCTTCATTTTTTCCATTAATTAAGTTGCTTCCTTATAGAGCAATACTGAACAAGACCACCCTTGCACCTAATGGCAATTTAACCCCACTGGCAGAGATCTGGGAACAGGACACTAAGTGAGGAATAATGCATAATGAATAACATGTTCAATAAGTAAGGGGAGAAAAATAGAATTGAAGTAAAATAAAAATCGTGAGTTCAAGAGGAAATATCCTGGGAAAATAATTAAACAAGGACGTCAGGTATTTGGGACAGTACCAGAATCTGCCGCTGTTCACCCTTGGGTCGACATTAAAATCAAATTCCAAACAGGGTGGGGTGGATGGAGACAGGCAGATTTTTTACCCTAGGCCTGCAGTGAGTTTTTGGGCATTAGAAATATACATCTCGACAAAAAATGACTGGCCATCCAGGTGATATGGTCATTAGGCTCCGAACTTTGGCGAGAGGACAGCTAATTGAGCCTTGATGACCAGTTACCCAATAATTGCCAATACTCTTCCCCTGAAGGAATAGAAACATTTTTCATTTTTTAACCTTTAAGGATATGGGCCTCAAGTTCCTTATAGACTAACCAGGCAGGTGGCTCTAAATCCACCCACTCCTACTGTGTAAATGATCCTGTACCTTGGATCTGAAACGAAATGAATGTAGACAACTTACAGTCTTGCTGCACCATAGTTATGATAATAAGCAGGATGGCCAAAGCTTCCACATCTTCACATCTATATTTATCATCCAATTTCCAGATATACGGGTCAAATTGAAAATAATCAGGAGGCTGTGTCTGTCTGCAAATTTTAATTCAGGTCACTGATGATGTGAGCTTTACTACTTTTCACAAAATGAAATCATGCTTTCAACTTCAATTTGCTGAGGCTTCACTGCTTCTGCCATACAAGCACCAGACTATTGAAAAGGATGGATGTGAACACCAACAGAATGGACTGGGGAAAATCTGCAGTTTTATCATCACAAAGTTATATCAGGTGTCTGGTGGACTACAAGGGGTTTTTCCTGGTGCAGATGCATCATTGGGTCTAACAATTAAGGATAGTGATTAAATATGCAGCAGAGATGCATTGGGCAAAGGGCTGTTGTGATGCAGTGGTAGTGTCCCTGCCTCTGAGCCAGAAGACCTGGTTTCAAATCCTACCTTTTGCAGAGATGTGTCATAACATGCCTGTACAGGCTGAATAGAAAAAATCTAGGTACATTGGGCATCTATTCCATACTTTGTCATGTAGATTATATCGATCAATGTCTTCTTCCAGAGATATGTAATCTTAAGGATCAGACTGAGCACGGCAATGTAAGTATCATGTAAGAAACAATTTCTGATGTGTAACCCACTAGCATGAGTGTGCCATGGCCTAAGCTGTTGACTGAATTTAGCCTGCTGACTTCCTTCTCTTTTTGTAGATTTAAAAATCTGCTTTTGTTTTCAAAGTATTCATGTTGTAGTTAAAAGCTTGTGTATTGAGGATTTTGAAACTGTGCTACTGGTATTGAGTTTAGCATTGCTTTAAGGCATATGAAAGACCACTGTAGTATAAGGTCTTCCTTTCCTCCTCTTGGCGACTCCCTGAGGCTGATCTAGAATATTTACAACCTTACAGTCATTATTGACCAAGAGATGATCTATCTGTGCAGTTGCCAGGACAGTCCAATTGGTGGAGAAGACATGGTCAGGACAAGGCATATGGTAAGTCTGGAAAGCTAAACCGTATCTATTTTAATGCTTGGAGCTTAACTGGCAAGATAGATGAATTTAGACTATTGATCAGCATTTTGGAATATGATATTGTTACAATCGCTGGCATGTCAGTGGTGGGAAAATTATTGGAAAATGTTCTGAAGGACAGGATTAATCAGTACTTGGAAAGGCAGGGATTGATTAAGGATAGTCAGTACAGACTTGTTAGAGGGAGATCCTTTCTGACTAATTTAATTGAGTTCTTTGAAAAGGTAACTCAATATATTGATAAGGATAGTACAGTTGATGTGGTTTCCATGGACTTCAGTAAGGCCATTGATAGGTCCCACATGGAAGGCTGGTCCAAAAGTTATGAACCCATGGGATCTAAGGCAGTTGGCAAACTGGATCCAGAATTGGCTTACAAATAGGATGCAAAAAATGATTGTGAAGGGTTGTTTTGTAATTGGACACTTGTGACCAGCGATGCACCACCAGGATTGGTGCTGGGACCATTGCTGTTTGAAATTTTATTAATGACTTAGATCATAATGTAGAAGGTATAATTAGTAAGTTTGCATGTGGCACGAAAATTGTTGGTGTTGTTGACAGGGTGGAAGATGGTCTCAGGCTACAGCCTGATATTAATCAGTTGGTAAATTGGGCAGAGGAATGACAGATGGAATTTAATCCTGGTAAGTGTGAGGTAATGCATTTTGGGAGGTATAATAAGGGAAGGATATACACAATGAATGGTAGGTCCCTAGAGACCTTATATCCTGAAAGTGTCAGTAGAGATTGACAGGGTGGTGAAGGAGGCATACGGGATGCTTGCTGTCATTAGCCAGGATGTAGAATGTAAGAGCAAGGAAGCCTTGTTACAACTTCATAAAACATTAGCTGGCCACAGATGGCAGACTATGTGGAGTTCTGGTTGCCACACTATCAGAGGATATGATTGCACTGGAGAGGGTGCAAGACGAGATTCACCAAATGTTGCCAGGGGTGAAAAGTCTCAGTTATGAGGAGAGACTGGATAGGCTAGGTTTGTTTCCCTAGGAGCAGAAGAGGCTGAGGGAGGATATGATTGAGGTATACAAAGTTATGAGAGGTGTAGATAGAGTAGATCATAAGAATCTCTTCCCCATGGTAGACATAGCTAAAACCAGAGGGCATAAGTGTAATGTAAGGAGCAAGTGGTTTACAGTTCTGAGAAAGACCTTTTCCACCCAGAGGGTAGTAGATACATGGAACATGCTACCTAAGAAGGAGTGGCGGCAGATGCTGTGATAACATTTAAGAAGCATCTTGATGAGCACTTAAAATGTCAGGGCATAGTAGGCTGTGGACCAAGTTCAGGTAAATGGGATTAGTGTAGTTTGGTGTTTTTTTGGTTTGCATAAACATGGTAGGCCAAAGGGCCTATTTCTATGCTGTATGACTCTATGGGTCTATGACTCTATGGCTTATTAAGACCACCTATCTTCATCTCTGTAAAATCATCTGACTCTATCCCTGTCTCAGTGCATATCCTGATGAAAGCCTCTTTTATGCCTTGGTTCCTCTAGACTTGATTATTTCAGTGCATTCCCAGAGTTTTGCAATTTTACTCCTTTGCTGTATCCTCAGTACACCAGATGTTATACAAAATTCTGCTGCCCATGTCTTTACATACAACAAGTCCATTCACCTATCACCTCTTTTCTCTTTTAAGATGTCCAAAAATTATACCTTTTTGACCAATCTTTGGGCCATCTACCATCCTGTTGCCTTTCATGGCTTGGTGTCTAATTTCATTCAGTCGCACTTGTGTGAAGTGCCTTATGATGTTTTATTATTATGTTAAAAGTGCTTTATAAATGTAAGTTATTGTTGGATATATTTTTATCATATTTGCAACTTGCATTCAGGTAAAAGCATTTCTACAACCACCGATGGAAGGAATTGTCTTAGAGACTTACGGAATGGGGACTACTCCAGACAATCGCCCTGAATTGTTGAACGAGTTTAAGGAAGGCATTGATCGTAGAATATTGATAATAAACTGTAGTTAGTGTCTGCAAGGCTCAGTTCATCAATCTTATGCAACAGGAAAGGTGAGTCACTGTTCTACTTAATGATTATGAGTAAAATTTCCCATTGAATTTCCAGCTCAGGTTTATTCATCTGTTCCTATCAGTGGCTAGGGTGCACAAGAGTAAATAATCTTTGCTATCAACCAATAAATATCATTACTTAATCCCCATAATTGATTGAATTAAAAGTAGCTTTTAGTTTATTCAATAAAGCACGGACACTTCTGCAACCTGATTATTTAAATGAATGCTATGAGCTATTCTTGGGGCTGCTCTGTCTGATGGAGTGAGGCACAGGGTAGGAGTTGAAATGCTACCCTAGGCTGCACTGGTTTTCCAGCCCTTTAACACAACATTGAGCTTGGCCCTTCCTTCACACCTGCCTAAATGGTGCAGTTGCAGCACTTAGCAGGAATATTACCTTCTAAAAATAAATTACAAAGAATCTCTCTTTTAGTGAGGCATGTGAGTGGTTAATGGAAATAGTTGGTATGATTTTAACTGTAGTTTGAGAAGGGGCAGTGGCTGTGATAGACATTAGCATGCCTTATTAGTATGTCATTGACAAGCTGCAGTATACCCCTAAGTGCTCTGCTACAGCTCATAGGTTCCTGGAAGGTGGGTCTTTAACTAACTCTGTACTGAGCCAACAGTTGGTTGGGACAGTGAGGGGCAACTCTGTCAGCAGGCCAGTTAGAAGGTAGATTAAAGTAGAGCACTCTTTTATGTTTCTACTTTGCCTGTGTTTGAAGACAGAGGCATAAGGCCCATCAATGAATCTGTTACTCTAATTGATTTTGGACAGGCTGTAGTTACGTTCACTAGTTTTGTGGAACTTGTATGATATTTATAATCAGTGTGGGTGGAAACATCAAAGTGATAGGAAACAGACTGGATAATTGGAGTTTGATTCAAAGTGGGAATTTGATGCACAGGCAGAAAAAGGTGCATGAAGTAAAATTTATTGCAAGATGTTAAGCTTGCTGAGAAGGGATTTCAGTGGAATGAGTATGTTGTTTATGAGTGTACGCTTTTGGGGATTATGTTGCAAAATTGGAAGTTTTAGAAAAATAAATTTTAAAAATTGAGTAAATAGTACAAAAATAAGTTTAAGGTATGGGAGGCTAGCTTTGCCAAGTGAATGCCAATCCTGTGGCATGTGGGGAGTCATGGACACTTCACGTGATTTAGACAAGCATTTCATAGGAAGTGCCACCAGCTGTACAAACTTAAGCTTATGTGTTTCACAGCTTGAGCAGCAGCTGGAGTTGCTGTTGCATCTGTGAACCAGAGAGTTACATTGGCTAGCAAGTTTAGAGAGGTAGTTGTAATACAGGAGAAGGGCATGTAGGCAGAGTAAGAATGGGTGACCGCCAGGCCAAGAGAGTCAGGCAGATTGTGCAGGAGTCCCTTGAGGTCCTGCTGAAGAATCCATTTTCCATTATTGATTCTGGTGAGGGCTCTTTGGAGAAGTGCAGCAAGGGGCAGGCCCATGGCACCATGGAGGGAAGGAAGAAGAGTGGAATAACAGTTGTGATAGCGGATTCAGTAGTCTGGGGTACGGATAAGTGTTTCTGCGGGCATAGACACGATCCCAGTATGGAATGTTGTCTCCTTGGTTCCAAGGATGTCTGGGAGAGAGTGCTCAGCTAGAGTGAGTGTTCTAAGTTGGTACCAATGACGTAGGTAGGAAGAGGGACATGGTCCCACAATCAGAAATTAGGGAGCGTCATCAAAAATTAGCAAGCAGGACCTCAAAAGAAGTAATCTCCAGATTACTCACAGTGGTATGTGCAAATGAATAAAGAATTAGTAGGATAAGGCAGATGACCATGTGGCTGGAGGCATGGGGCAGGAGGTAGTGCTTTAAATTTGTGGGACACTGGGACTGGCTCTGATGGAGAAGGCGCCAATGGATCGGTTGCAACTGAACAGAGATGGGAATGAGTTATTTGTGGGACATTTTGCTTGTGCAGTTAGCGATACTTTCAATTAACTTGGTATGGTTGTGATAAACAGAGTGAGCCACACAAATGCCAGGCAATGGCTGTTTCCAACAAGGGAGAATCTATCCTTTGCAACTGACATTCAATTATATCACTATCACTGAACTCAAATATCAACATCCTGTGTGTCATCATTGATCAGAAACTGAAATGGACTAGCCATGTAAGCATTATGGCTACAGGAGCCGTTCAGAGGCAAAGAATACTGCGGCGAGTAACTCATCTCTGGACTCCACAAAACCTGTTCATCATCTACAAGACACAAATCAGGAGCGAGATAGAATGTTTCCCAGAGATAGTAAGAACTGCAGATGCTGGAGTCAGTAATAACACAGTGTGGAGCTGGAGGAACACAGCAGGCCAGGCAGCATCAGAGGAGCAGAAAAGTTGACATTTCGGGTTGGGACCCATCTTCAGAAATGGGGAGGGGGAAGGGAGCTCAGAAATAAATAGAGGAGGGGTGGGGCTGGGGAAGGTAGGTGGGATGGTGATAGGTGAGTGCAGATAGTCAGTGGTGGGGCTTGGTCAGTGGGATGGGAGGGGCGGATAGATGAAAGAGAAGATGGACGGGTTGTGTCAGGTCAAGGAGGCAGGGATGAGAGGGAGGGCTGGTCGTGGGATGAGGCCAGGGGTGGGGAGGTTTTGAAACTGGTAAAATCCATGTTTAGGCCATTGGGCTGTAGGCTCCCAAGGCAGAATATGAGGTGCTGTTCCTCCAGTTTCTGGGTGGCATCATTGGGATACTGGAGGATGCCCAGGATGGACATGTCATGTAGGAAGTGGGAGGGGGGGTTGAAATGACTTGTGACTGGAAGGTGTTGTCATTTGTCACGAACAGAGCGTAGATGCTCTACAAAGCGGTCTCTGAGCCTCTGCTTGGTCTCACTGATGTAGAGGAGGTCACATCGGTAGCAGCGGATGCAATGGACCACATTGATGGATGCGCAGGTGAACCCCTTTCTAATGTGGAAGGTTTGTTTTGTGCCTTGAAGGGAGGTGAAGTGTAGGGGCAGGTGTAGCACGTCTTGCGGTTCAGGGAAAGATGCTGGGGGTGGTGGGGTTAGTGGGGAGAGTGGAGCGGATGAGGGAGTCGTGATATATTTCCCTTCCCACCCCTATCTGCCTTTTGTATGGACCGCTTTCTCGCGACTCTCTCGTTCGCTCCACACTCCTCACTAATTCCAGAAGTGTTTGATGAGGTACCATCTGTTAAGCTACTTAAAAAAAAAAGCCCATTGTGTTGGAGGTTGCATATTATCATGTATAGAGGATTTACTAACTAATAGAATTCAGGAAGTTTGAATAAAGGGGGCATTTTCAGGATGGTAGCTGTAAGTAGCAGAGTGTCACAGTGATCAGTGCATGGGTCACAATTATTTACAATATACACTAATGACTTAGAATTGTAGAATCCCTACAGTGTGGTAGCAGACCATTCAGCCCATTGAGTCCACAACAACTGACCGAAGAGCATCCCACTCACACCCACCCCATTCCTGAAGCCCTGTATTCCCCATTGCTAATCCTAACCTACACATCCCTGGAAACTATGGTCAATTTAGCATTGCCAATCCACCTAACCTGCAGATCTTTCAACTGTGGGAGGAAACCAGAGCACCCAGAGGAAACCCTCACAGATACAGGGAATATTTGCAAAGTCCACACAGACAGTCACCTGAGAGTGGAATCAAAGTAGGGTTCTGGGCACTGTGAGGCAGCAGTGCTAACCACGGAGCCACCATGCTGCACTTGGATGAGGGAAGTGAATGTACTGTAGCCAAGTTTGCAGATGACACAAAAATAGGCGGGAAGGCAAGTGGTGAGAATGACAAAGAGTCTGCAGAAGGATATAGTAAGAACTGCAGATGCTGGAGTCAGTCATAACACAGTGTGGAGCTGGAGGAAGACAGCAGCCAGGCAGCATCAGAGGAGCAGAAAAGTTGACGTTTCAGGTTGGGATCCTTCTTCAGAAATGGGGAAGGGGAAGGGAGCTCAGAAATAAATAGAGAGAGGAGGGGTGGGGCTGGGGAAGGTAGGTGGGACGGTAATAGGTGAGTACAGGTAGGGAGTGGTGTGAATTTGTCCATGGGATGGGTGGGGCAGATAGGTGGGAGAGAAGATGGACAGGTTGTGTGAGGTCAAAGAGGTGGGGATGAGAGGGAGTGTTGGACATGGGATGAGGCTGGGGGGTGGGGAAATTTTAAAACATGTGAATTCCATGTTTAGGCCATTGGGCTGTAGGCTCCTGAGGAGGAATATGAGGTGTTGCTCCTCCAGTTTGCATGACAGGTTAAGTAATTGGGCAAAATCTTGGCAAATGGACTATACTGTGGGAAAATGTGAAGTTATGCACTTTGGCAGGAAGAATAGAGGAGCTGAATATTATTCAAATGGAGAAAGCTGAAGCACAGAGGGATTTGGGAGTCCTTATGCATAAAACAGCAAAACACTAGCATGCAATTTCAGTAGGTAATAGGAAAGGCCAAGAGAATGGAGTATAATAATAGGGAAGTCTTGTTAAACCTACACAGTTAGACCACATATAAGAAATACTTTTCTAGTATTCTATCCAAGGAAAGATATAATTGTATTGGAAGCAATCCATAGAAGGTTCACTAGGTTCATTCTGGGTCTGGAGGGATTTTCTTATGAGGATAAGTTCAGTAGTTTGGGCCTGTACTCAGTAGAGTTTAGAAGAATTAGATATTGAAACATATAAGATTCTCAGCAGGCTTGACAGGTTAGATGTGGAGAAGTTAATTTCTTTCCCCCATTTTGTGAGAATCTAGGACCAGAGGGCATAATCTCAGATAGTACACAGATATGTAGAAATTTCTGATCTTAGAGGGTAGTGAATCTGTGGAATTGTTAACCACAGACAGCTGTATAGATTGGATCATTAAGTGTTTTCAAGGCTGAGATAGGCATAGATTTAATCACAAGTGAACAAAGGGTTATGCGGATAAGGCAGGAAAGTGGAGTTGAGGATTATCAGATCAACCATGATTTCATTGAATGGCAGAGCAGACTGCATGGGCTGACCGGTCGACTTCTGTTCCCATGTGTTATGGTCTTAATTCATCAAAGATTCACCAAAGATCCTCAGACAGCACCTTCCAAACCCACGACCACTTCCATCTAGAAGGACAAGGGCAGCAGATATATGGGAACACCATCACCTCCAAATTCCTCTCCAAGTCACTCACCATCCTGACTTGGAAATATATTGCGGTTCCTTCACTGTCGCTGGGTCAAAATCCTAGAATTCCCTCCCTAACTGCATTGTGGGTCAACCCACAGCGGTTCAAAAATGCAGCTCACTACCACCTTCTCAAGGGCAACTAGGAGTGGGTAAGAAATGCTGGCCAGCCAGCAACGCCCACATCCCACAAATGAATAAAAATTAAAAAAAATTCTCTTTTTCACTCTCTGCAATGTATTCACAACCTTTCCATCGTACATTGCTTTAAACTGTATATAACACTCCAGTTGAGGTCAACTAATGTTTGTAAAATATCTGTTAGCAGGAGTGGTGTCAAATCCCACACAGACATATGTCCATGGGATCTTAAATCCAATACTTGACAACTCAGCATTCTGTTTAGTAAGATATTATCCTAAGCTTTATCACAAGGGCATTGAAGAGCAGGAACAATATTGTTATGCTAAATTTGAAAACAACACCAGTTAGACCTCAGCTGGAATATTATGTAGAGTTCTGGGCACCACACTTTAGGAAGGATGTGAACATATTGGGGAGGGCTCAGAAAAGATTTATGAGAATGTTTCCAGGGATGATAAACTTGGATGAAAATAGATTGGAGAAGTAGAGACCGTGTTCCTTGGAGTAGAGAAAGCTAATTGGAAATTTGATGTAAGTTTTGGAAGTCCTGACAGGGCTAAGTGGATAAGGATAAACTGTTCCCTTTCACTAAAGGATTCAGAATGAAAAGGCACAGATTTAAGGTATTTTAAAGTATTTTGAAAATGAAGCAAATGTCAAGTGAGTAAGAGCTCTTTCAAACAGCAAGTATTTCAGATCTGGAACATATTGCCAAGAAGTGTGGAAACTAGTTCAATTGATGCATGAAAGAAGGCATTAGATGACTATTTGAATGGAAACAATATTCAGAATTATGGTGAAAAGGCAGACAATGGCACTAATTCATTATGCTCATTTGGAGAGCTGGTACAGACTCAATGGGACAAATGAACTCATTCTTCACTCCAACAATTCTGTGAATGTCCAAGGTTTAATATCAATAACTTAGATTCCTGCTGATTTGTGCCATTGGGCATTAATTCTGATATTAATTGCAATAAATTATTACAGAGCTATTAGGAATTGCCGATGCTGGAGTTTGCAATAACAAGGTGTAGAGCTAGATGAACACAGCAGACCAGGCAGCATCAGAGGAGCAGGAAAGCTGACGTTTCGGGTCTGGACTGTT